TAATTATAAATTAATTATTTAAAAAATTAATTAATTTAAATATTAAGTATAATTTATAGGATATATACTTTCTTTATAATGCCATTACATATTTCTATTAATATAAAAAGTTTCAGAGCTTTTTATTCACTTTACTTTTTTGGGATTTTATGAACTGAAAAATGACAGTTTTCGTGAGAATGACCCATATATATATATTCATTTATATACATTTGCACACAGAATTATTAGTTTTTCAACAAAATAGTACACATAACATACCAAATACCCTTCCTTCAAAAAAGCTGTCTTTGTCAACCCATACAGCTTGCTTATTTCCATTTTTACTGACAGTATAGGCTTTGAATTTAGAAGACAGAAGTCCTTTTGTAGGATTCAGAATGAGTCGGAAATGTCTAGAATGAAAAAAAACTTAATCAAAATACTAACCAAGAAAAATGAGTGAGTGGAAAAAAGACAAATACAGTGTAACGTCCCATATCCGGACGTCCCTTTTCCGGAAGGGTCGATTTCCCGGACACTTTTTAACAATCAAAATAAACAAACATTTCTTCATCTTCCCCTCTCCTTAAAAAAAAAAAAATGAAGTCTTTTGACAGGTTTTTCCCCTTCTCAGCTTCTAGAGATCTATGCATTGAACCCATAAATCAACAGAAAAGAGAACAGAAGATCTACTAAGACCATGAGGCTCCTCCTCTGGAATGCAGGAAAGGGGGGGGGTTTTCAAAAGAGCACAACTGAATCCCCTCCCTCCCCCTTCTTTCCTATGCAGCTGGCTAGTAAAAGAGGCATTTCCTGGAACCTTTTTGAATATTAAAGTGGAGGGGGAATCCCCTTTAGTCACACAAGAAAAAATAAAGAGAACCCAATTAGCATGCCACGCCTTTATGCTTGATTGATAGCCAATGATGGGAGAGAAAATAAGAATTTGTCACTACCTCGCCCTCAACTTGAATGACAAGTAAGGAGGAAATGAATTTTTCTTCTCCACCTACCCACCTTATTGAATGACGGGAATTTCCTCTTCTTGCTTGAATCGTTCTAGTTCAAAATGGTGGAGAGAGCAATTAATATTTTCATAACTGGGAATTTTTTTCGTTTTCTATATTTATTTTTAGAATAGCAATAATTATTTTTTTTTCTAATATTTTATTTATGATTGATTAGATATCATTCTAATACTAAAACATTATTGCCCGAAAAATAATGTTTATTTATTTTCTGCTTCTTAGATTCAGATCATTTTAAACTTTGTTTACCTTGGAGGTCAATTATACGGAAAAATCAAATATACGGACTTCAGAAAGTCCCGCCGATTCCAGATATGCGACTTTCCACTGTAATAAATTGAATGACAGTAAACAAAATGTATATTGCATTTCTACAGTTAGGATGACCTCCTTCAATGTTTAAATATAATGTTCTTAGCAGTAACTCACCATTGTTTAAAAAATAACTCACTTTCCGGTTTGAACTATCTTTCTCCTATCTGACTAAAGATATTTATTTTGCGCTTATAATATTCTCTTATGAAATATTTTAAAAACAGGTTTTTAATAGAAATATTAAACTCTTATTCATAATAAAAAAAAAACTAGTTAAATTAATTTAGAAATAAAATTTAATAAAAATATATCAATTCAAGTATGCTTTTCAGTATAGATACAACTTACTTTCAAAATAATTTAGTTTTAACAAACTTTTATAAAAATTCATCCAATTATTATATAAATAGCAGTTATTTGTATAGTAACACCATGCAAAATTTAGTTCTATAGCTTACTAAACTTAAATCACTTGATTAATTCCACAATTAAATAGTCTTCAAATTGAAACAATACTTATTTATCAATGAAAAATTTTACTATTTACAAGGAAATCTGTATAACTTTAATAGTTCAAACTAAAAACACATTTATCTCAGTCTGCTTTCCAAAATGCTCCATATCCACCTCATTTCATCACTCAAGATTCTCCTCTCTTCTTTTCAAGTCAATGAACTGAGGCAATAACAGTATTATTTAATCTTGATATGCCAAGTATGATAAAAACTTGTATAACACAGGAGAAGTTATAAGTTTTTATAGCCACAACAAATTTACCTTTTCTTCATGTACCCATTAGTCTAATATATTAGAAGATATTAAAAGTAGACAAAACAAAAATAGTTATAAGAATTGACCAACAAATAGCAGATCCGGCTCTTCATATAGATCTAATTGAAATAAAGATGATCATTACAAATATAGCATCACGCTCCCAACTTTTTCATAAAATTAATAACGCTTATATGTTTCATAAAAACCCCAAATTTTGTTTAAATGAGTTAAAACAGCTAATTATTTTTAGTCCCATTTTTCCTTTATGATTGATTACTTTGTCTTGAATAATAACTTGCTCTTTAAAACGAATTTAATTTTTATAAATTATTCTCTGTAAAGTAAATGTTATCTGCCCATATAATGTAATTAGTTCACATATATTCTAAATAATCAAGGGTATCATTTTTCAATATTAAAAGTAAAATATGCATGCTGAAAACAAAATTTTAACTTTTAGGTCCTCCTCAGGTACCAAAAATGGTGGATTAGCATCATATTTGTTAAAATAATTTTTATTTTTATTCAAAAAATTAAAATGTAATTAATGCTAAAAAAAAAAATTGAGTTTTAATTAGCCTTTCCATGGACATTATGTCTAATGTCTTAACTACAGAAGAGTACAGATTATTACTTCTGTTAATTCTGTACAGCTTTCTTGTTCCAATCCAAAACAACAAATTGGTACATTGGTAGACTGTTATGGTAATAAAATATATATTTATTTTTTGTAGTTGTAATTTTTAGAGAACCTATGTTATGAGATATTTAAGGACATATTAGATAAATTTTGAAATTTAACCTCATTAGAGAATTAAATAGGATAGGAATTGAAAGATTTATTCTTTAGCTATGCAATAGTGTTTAAAATTCTCTTTTATTATAATTAGAAGAAAAGTTACAACCACTGATTTATATGCAGGTTAGTAATTTCTTAAGAAAACTTCAATTATTAACAATTCTAAAAACATAAGAAATTTTCAAATTAAAATCTCAAAATTGGTAGCTTTGCTTACTTCGTCAAATATACCATTATATCAAACTTCATTAAAATTGAAGATGAGTTAGTCTAAAAGTAATTGGTTTGATGTGGAATGACTCATTTATAAATTAGGCATATTGAATATTATATATAAATATAAATATGAAAAAACCCTGAATTTGCAAAGTTAATTGATGAATAACCCCTATAATCTCAATAATTTCCTTATCCTAAATTAGGTCAGGTCTCAATTAAATAAAGAAACTGAAGTTCAACTAAAGCAAACATATTAGAAACATAAATATTGAATATGAATATTTGCAAAGCTTAAATACTTACCTTCCAAGGGCCTTAAAAGAGACTTCCTTAACAACATTGAAATGGTGCGAACTTGGATGAACACCCCGTTTAGCAATGCTATGGCCAATATCAGAAGCCTTTATTATCTCATAATATTTCAATTGGTAATGAGAAATAGCTGAAAATATGCACACAAAAAATATTTAATGTTTATTTCATTAGCACATAATAAATTTTTTTTAATAGGGATGTAACGAATAATGATTTGGCCGAATAGAGGAATATTTGGTCAAAATAATCGGTCGAATAGCAATATTTTTTTAAAAAAAAGCATTAATAAATATTATTTTTTACATAGAAATAAGTTTAGTAATTATAGAAATTCTGAACATGTAATGTTTTGTATAAGAAAAGTTAAAATTGTGTAATGTGAACATATTACTTTCTATAGATTAACCGAGAAAATAGAAGAAAAAAATGGTTAGGTTTGTTATCTTCTAAAAATGAAAAATTGCAGAAAAAACAAAGAACAGTTGTGACAAACCTCACAGCTGTGCCCTCACTCAACTCCCTAATTTTACTTATAATATATTTTTTTGCTTCAAGCCGCTGTGTCAACTATCTGCAAAACAATTTAAATTTGCTTTGTTCGATTGGCAAAAATATAGAAAGAGTAGGAAAATGTGAAATTTCTAATTTTTCTTCTTTTTTTATTAATATTAATATATTTGATAGTCATAATGAAATATTTCATAAATGAAAAATTTTTGTTAAACCTAAAATGTTATTTTTTTAGGAGACTGAACACCCAAACCTAATGCCTCTTCCCACGGCAGTAGAGATATTTATGGCACTGGTCAATTAAGAAAAAATAAATGCATACAATGCAACTATCTTCTCTACATTTGGATATACCATAAAATGAAAGTGAAATTTATTAATTCATATATACATTTCTTGATAGACAGATAAATAATACCGTTTTTACAATCACAGGGCTGCCAATTTGCTATGATCTTGGGGAAAAAAATTTCTTCTAAATGTGTATGATTCTTTGTTTTGAAAAGTTTAATTAAAGTCATTTTCCATAACACTCCATTCAAATGACTCAAAAGTTTATATAAAACTCTACTTTGCTCCAGCTCTCTCATTGTGAAGCACTTAAAATATTACCAAAACTTCTGAAAGCTTTACTTTTTAATCGTCTACCATTCTATAAAATATATTACAATAAGCGTAGTTGTTTGCAGCCCTGTAAGCAATTACTGGAATTCATATTATAGTAATTTAAAAAAGTTTCTGTTCAAAAAAACACTTTATTATGCTCTTTTTTATTTAATAAAACACTGGTCTAGAATTTAAAATATTATTGCAAAAACCAGAGTTTACAGCAGTGTTGGATATTGATAAGTGTAAAATGTGTAAAGAAGTTTATTACATTTGAAACATTGAATTTTAAAGTAAAAATTCATATTCTTACATTTATCAAAATTGAAAAGGGTAACCAGCATCCAGAGAATGATCTTAACTTCATAGATCATTATAAATTATACACAAGTTTCATACGATTACCGCAGTTCAAATGAGAATAGCAGAAAGTTTTTGTTTCAAGAAAGATTTCGTTATCATGTTTTTTAAAAACAAGAAATTGATCATTCATCAATTTAAAGCGTTTAGTAATTAAATAAAACACGCGAAAAATATTAAAAATAATTAATTCACATTTACAACTGCACCGAAGTGAAAGTTAAACAAGAATTAACTTGAAAAGATAGTTTTGATTTGACAGCATATAAATATAAACATAAATTTAAGGCAGTGTCTATTACACCGACTATCGGTAAGATAGCCTCAGAGCTATCGCGCCGACGTTGACAACAGCGCCACTTTACAGAAACTAATTCATCGGTACAATAGCTATAAGTTATGCTTTTCTACCTGTGTATGTGAAATTGGTAATGGGTTGTCATTGTTTGATGGGTTGTCATTGTTTCACCNACATAAATTTAAATCATGAAAGAGTCTGATAACGATTAAACAGCTTCAAGTGAAAATCGATAACAGAGTGGTAATTCATTGTAACAGATATTTAATAACAGGTATTCGAAAGAAGGTATTTTCATAGTTTTAACTTGTAATGGCAACATAAGTTAACTAAAAGAAGTTATCCAAATATTTTCATTCTGGGAAAATATTGTTTTTCGCCGAAATTAATTATTTGTCTTCCCACGGCAGTTTTATGAATCAATAATGGCAAGAAGATATGAGCATGGATTTAGGTAGATCGATCAATGCCATTATTCTTTTCTTAAAAATTTCCAACTCTCAGTTTCTCTGTAATCTATTTACAACATGTAGCTTCGGTAAAAAACGTAGTACCTATTTCGCTCTTCATTCGTTATTATTTCCCCTTAAATGCTTGGTTTCAATTTGAAATTATTTATTTTTTATTAATTTTGTTTTAAATTTTCTATTGATTGTTATTGAAATTTATTAAATAAATCGCTTTTTTTCTACGCGTTACTGTTCATATTTTCTTTGCGTTCATCAAATGGTGTTTTTCTGGACATTAAAAAATGTTTTCTATTCGAATGTTACTATTGTGCTCTGTTTCTGTTAAAAAGCCACCCATGTCAATTTTAATAAGTCCAAGCATTTCTTGTTTTCCAACGTATTGATAATTAAAAAAAAGGACTAGCTTGTAGTTTGTCTGAAGAAAGAACTAACCACGCCATTAAGTTTAAGACCGTCAGCTACTATGGAAACGAGAAATAGCCCGTTTCAAAGAGGGGGAGCATTTTTTCCCCCTGATTTCCTTTCTCTGGACGATCTGAGGCAAAACCTGTCTTAAATAATGACCCAACACCCCTATTTGAAATAGCTAAACATCTTAACAATAGCTACCGCCAATACTCCAGACGAATGGCGAGGGGAGTTCTTTAAATAGACAGACTATAGTTGACCATACCATTAGTTTAAAAAGCTGTTTCACTCATTTATTCCTCTATTTTCTTATGTGATGTAAATTTTGTGATAGTCCTATTGGCAAAATCTATAATTCTAGTATTTTAAAGATATAAATAGCATGCTATTACTCTTTTTTATAATGTATTTGTTTAATCATTGGAAAGAATTTCTTATCAGCACCTGTATCAAAATTGTCAAGAATGAGAAAGTGATCTTGAAAAAGTTTTATCAAGAACGAGGAAGTAGCGCTTATGAAAGAACATAACGGGTAATTTGCAGGGTATAACTCGTAGCCACCCTCTGACAAACTACATACAGTGAACTCTCGCTACTATGATACCTGATACAACAATAACTCCCTCTATTACAATAATATTTTGTGGTCCTGACAAACTTGCATATGAGTTAATGTTTTCCATTTCTCAATATTGTGATATTCTCTGAAGCAGTAAAACCCCATGAAACTATTTTTTTTTCTTTCAAATTTCAACCTTATTTTCCCCATTTATTATTGGTTTTCAATTTCAATTAATGTAAAAATCTTATTTTATCATATTTTGCCATTTTTTTTCTCGGTCTTTTCTAACAAGAGAAGTCCCAATGCTGATTATGTACTTATTTTATTTCTTTTCAACACAGTGAATAGCTTTTGTATTCCGGCTTTAATACTCCATCCTTGATGTACATAGACCACCCGAAGACCTTCCATTCTTAGAATTGCCTCCCTTATCTCTTAAGAAGTCGCAGATGTAACCTGATTTCATATTTAACCATAATTATGACTCTGCAAACTAAATTTTTACATAATATATAAATAGATTTCTAGTTATTATCTATATAACATTAAAATTAATAAAAAATCTTATTGTGTCCCCAAAGTATGTTGGCCCTCGATATAGTAACAGGGTTTGTGATTTTTTTTAAAAAAATCAAAAGAATCGGATTTTTTTTTATTTAAATCAGATTTTTTTGATTTTTATTCAAATACGCTGTAAGAACTTTAATTTATGATTTAAAAAATTATAAATGTTTAATCAAAATTAGCTTAATATTAAAACTATATTGTAGTAATATTTTGGAAGCTCTAACTAAAATAATTTTTCATTATTATACAGGCTTTGAATGCATAGCAACCATTTTGAAACAAATGCATGATTAAAATTTAAAGACTAGATGAAATAGAGAATTAAAAGAATACTTCAGGGGTCCGTCTGGTTATACAAGAGGTACCTATTTCGTGAAAATTTGGACATAATTTGTGAAAATTAAAAATTATATTTAAAAATCAACACAAATAAAGTAAAAATATGGATTTATCATTTCTTACGAGACACAAAAATAAAATTTGAAGAAAAAGTATTTTATGTAATTACTCTACCATTTTTCCTGAAGTTGAATTTGTAAAGGTACCATTAAAAGGTAGTAAATTTGGCTTGGACAGACCCCTGTACTTTAACTATTAAAACAAAGTTTCAGGTAGCAAATCATAAGTTTAGTTTAAAATTGTGATTTCTTTTTTCTTCTTTCGATTTTTAAAATTACAAAATAAATGTAGCAGATTGTGTTTATAAATGTAGTCATTCATCAATAAATAAATAAATATTTAATCTATATATTTTTATATTAAAATATTCATTTTTAATTCTATATCAAAATTGATAAGTTAAGCTAGAAAAAAATTAGAAAATCTATGTACTCATTGGAATTTTTTTTCACAAAATCAGATAATGTCAAAGATACTGTAAGCATGTTATGAGAAAAAAATACCAGTTAATAACCCTACTGCTTCAAAAATAGACTTTGAAAGAGTTTGAAAGTGAAGAATGACACCATATTAGGGAAAAAACATCTGAATTCATCAGCCTTTTTTTCTTTTTTTTTTCTTTCTATTTTTGGCATATTAGGGTAATTTCTTTTTAATATAACTTCAAGCTTCAGAAATATACATTTTCCACCATTAAAATATGATGTGGATTTTAATTCACGCTTTTTCATTCAAAAGGTAGAATTTTAATTAACATAATTTGTATTACTTTTTGAAAAAAATTCATTTTTATTAATTACATTCTACAGCTATGCTACTAAAATTAATTAATGCAGCAATTTATTTAAATTAAATTTTAAAACTAAGAAAAGAAAATAATAAAAGTATCAAAAATTTAAAATACTCTTTTTTAACTTTTAAAATCAATATATATAGATAGAAAAATTAGTTGATTTAAATCAATGATTTTTTTAAAAAAAAATCATTTGATTTAAATCAAGCTGATTTAAATCAACAAACCCTGTATAGTAATATATCCATCTACAACAATCTGAGCCGGATTATACCATTCTTAGGCCCTAGGCATAGCCAATTTTCGTAGGCCCTAGGCAATTAAAGATAAACTTGTGAATACTATTCCTAACGTTCACATTGCATTAAGAATATATTTGCTGATTCTTGGATCAAATGCAGAAGGAGAAAGATCTTTCTCCAGATTAAAATTGATAAAAAATTATTTGCGTTCAACAGTGAATCAAGATCGTTTGGCAACGCTCGCACTTATGTCTATTGAATACGACATTTTGCGTAGTTTGGAATTCGACAGCATAATAAAGAATTTATTGAATCCAAAACAGTAATATATTAGATCATAAGATTCTGCAAAATAATTTATTACCGAAAAATATTATATTTTTATTTGTATCTTCATAATTTTGTNAAATGTAATTTCAAATGTGTTGGAATTTAACACACACCAAGTTTAGTTAAAGATATTAATTTCGTTAACTAAAATTAATTAATGCAGCAATTTATTTAAATTAAATTTTAAAACTAAGAAAAGAAAATAATAAAAGTATCAAAATTTAAAATACTCATTTTTAACTTTTAAAATCAATATATATAGATAAAAAAATTAGTTGATTTAAATCAACAAACCCTGTATAGTAATATATCCATCTACAACAATATATTTATTTGGTCCCAAAAGTATATGCCAAGTATGAGTGCCGAGGTTTTACTGTCAGAAAAAAGTGTAAAAATCTTTTGGTGCCTTAGCAATAGTAGTTAGTGAATAGACCTTAATTATCATTTGTTTGTTTTTTTATTTTTATTGAATAATGCATGTTTTGCTGTCTATTTACTTTAAAGAACCTTATTATCTGGAAAAATCTTTTTTTCAAACTTGCTAAAATCTTGAAGATTTTGGATATAGGACTTGCCACCGTATTTATTTTAGTTGAACAACAACAAAAATAAACAATGCTCTTTTGTAATAAAAGAACAAAAACTGATTTCTCACCATAAATTTATAATATTTGTAAATCCCTACCAGAATTTTATAAAGCTTTCAAATTAGGGGAAAAAGTGAAATAAATCAACTGTGCTATAACATGTTACACCTTTAAAAATTAACAAGCTTTAATTTTTCAAATAAATTTTCAATTTATAAATTTTTTTTTAATGTAATTAATCATTTATGTAATTTGTGATTAAAAAATCAGTTAAAAATTCTTATGTTTATAAATTTTAATTGACTTATAATTTTAAGATAAGGTATGTAAAAATAAAATCTTTTCTCTTAAGTTTGAAGAAACCTGTTTCTTCCACAGCAGTTTTTTCCATTGTAAAAGAAACTTGCCATACTTGTTGGCATAGCAGTCAGATTTTTTTATAAAGGACATTCAGATGTGAAGTACTTTTAAATTATAGATGTGAAATTCGAGCCCCTAATCTCTCTTCCAGTGAGTGGGGCAGTGGTCTACTTCAAATTCTGATCTAAGATCTGTATTTTTAATTGTTGATTTTTCAGAAAAAATACCCTAATTTTATATACAGGCAGTTATATTTTTAGTTCATTGATGGTGCTTTAATTGCAAAATGAAGATGGTGTGAAAAATATTTACTAAGATAAAGTTATATAAAAATACATGTCAGAATGAAAAAATATACATACTACAAACATACTTTTTGATATTTTCAAAAGCCTATCTACTAACACCTGAACTTGCTCTACCATAATGCTCATCAGCTGGGAGTTGCAGTGGGAAGGATAACTGATAAATCAACAGAAAATAAAAATTTGGTGTGGGTTGATAGTTATCCCTTGTAAACAAATTTAAATTTCGCAAATTGGAAATCCTTAAAAATTTTAGCTGCTGAAATTCACGTATGTGATTTGAATTTTATATTTAAGCTGTTTTTATAATGTTTAAAAATGATTATTCATGAATGTGTGAAATAGGCTATTTCAGCTGATTCTACTAGGTTCCTTCGCTAATCACTTGTTTTAACCTAGAGAATTGATACAAAAATTTATCAGTAGAAAACAAATTGCTAAACTTGATTCTTAAAAAGGAAAAAAAAAGTGGGTGGGCATTTTGCTTAAGACATGAGGTTATGTGGATGTCAGATCCGAAAATAAATGACCTTAAATGAAATGTTAAGAATTTTCTCTATTTATTTAAGTTACATAAATATTGCGTCCTTTCTTTAAAATACTTCCTTTGAAAAAAATAATTTTATGAATCAGACTATGTAGCTACATAAAAACAAAAAATATGAATATTTTGTTAATTTAAGATAATATGAATAAATTTCATTAAAAAATTTTTTTTTATTCTTTAAAATTTTATTTAGTAACTCAAAAACTTGAAAAATCTAAGTCCTTCTAATCTTTAAAAATAGGACGTTGTGAATGCAAAAAAATTATTTTACTGCAATTAGTTTTTCCTTTACATTTAAAGTAAAAATGGAAAATTTAATACCCTCTGAAACTTTGTTTTTATTTTTAGACCAGAAGGAACTTCAAAACCTATACCATCCGAGCCTCCTTTTACTCTTTATGTTGGAAATCTTCCACAAGGTGTAGTTCAAGGCGATATTGAAGATATATTCAAAGGATTAAGTGTAAGTTTTATGTATATATGTGTTTATATAGTTATGCAATTTTTAGTCTTAAAAGTGGTTTTTATTTATATATTTTAATAACATAATACAATAACATATTATTATATATTTTAATAACATTACATACAATAAAATAAGTTTTAATTTAATAATTTAACTTTGATTGAAAAAAATAATAATTAACTTTGATTGAAATAACTTTGATTGAATAAATTGAATTTTGATTGAATTTGATTGAAAACAAAATTTTTATTCATTTTTTATTTTAAAATTTACTTTTATTGACTAGTATTGTCCTGTAGCTTTTTCCCTGTGATCAGTAGCATTGTTTATAAAGTTAAGGATGACTCAGCCCAACCAGTTGATGGTGGTCAAACTGTGGCCAATGGAGTCATGGAGATTAATGTTCCATAATTTCAAGACCAATAGTGTGATAGTAGTTATTTGGCCAATGTTACTTGCCCGCTGACTTTACTTCCTAGTCAAGCTGATAGATATTGATCTGAAACTAGATTGGCTTCAAATTGCCTCTGGGAATATAATGTATTTATAAAAAAATTTTAAGCCGTGTAATAATTCGTTATTAAGCATAAAATGCACTAGATACAAATAATTAGATTATTAAGTTTTTTTTCTCTAAAAAATAATATTCTTTAAAATAATGTATGATTGATTAAGTCTGAGTCTTTTAGTATTTAATTAGTTTTTCCCTGTCTGTTTGGCATTATGAAACAATTGTTTTTTATTTTAGTATCACATATTGTAATCTGTTTTTTTATTTTTTTTTCTGCAAACTTTTTTGTTCCTTATTTAAGTAAGACATTTTTAAAGTCTTCAAAAATATTTGGTTTAAAAACATTTGCCTAATTAAATTTTTTTATTTAATCGAAAGTACAAAATAAATGAGTTTCAGATGTAATCAAGATTGATTAGATTTCTTTTTTTAATTTTTTTTTTTTTTTAAATTCAAGATTTAGCTTTATTTTCTAAAATTTAGCCGCTTGAAATAAAAAAGTCTTCTTAATTACAATTTTCAAAGATTTGCAGGAAATTTGAATGTTCCTATTGCTCATAATAGGAACATCTTTTCTTCAATCAAGGCTGACTGCTCATGTGTACAGTTGCTGATGCATGTGCATTTTTTTCAAGTTACATTTAAAGGGAATCAAGTATGTGGAAGTCAGTTCTAATAGCTTCAATGATGTAAAAATTTAACTAAACACAAATTTTCATTGCGATGTAATTGAACTTTCAATTTTTTTCTTCTAATTAATAATTCTTATTAATAACTAGTCATTTAATTAATAGTTAGTCATTGAACTTTAGGATTATTCATGAATCTAGATTTTCAAAGACTATTTGTGACATTCATATATTACATAGATTTGTTGTATCAAAATTTCCTTCCCATTATTTAATAAAACAATTTCTAATTCTCAAAAATTTAATATTTCATTCTGAAATATCATCCACTAATTATTAAAAAAAAAATTTGCAGACTATATAACTACTGTTTGCTACATTCATATACCACAAAACTTTCTTTCTTGAAAATTTCTACTTTACAGAATTTTTGGTGTGTCATTCCATGAATAGATTGAATTTCACCATCATAAAATTTTAAAATTACTACTTATGGCCTTTAAATACAAACACTTTAAAATTACTACTACTAATTAAGGGACCATTTACTTATCTACTATTTTCATCAAATCTATTCTTGTGAGATAGAGATTTATCATTTTGATTAATTGGTTCCTTGTTTTTATTCTTCAAGTTTAAAATATTTTAACCTCATATATAATTCAATATTCACAGAATTCTCGAATGGGATGTTAAGGGATAGGTCACTAATTATTTTTTGTATAAAATTCAATTGTTTATTTGCACATCATTTGTTAGTTTTTAATTATTTTGATAATTTGTTTAAAAAGGTATTGAATGCAATTTAATTAAATACCAAGCTTTCAATTTAAATTATCATTATCAAATTGATTTTAATATTTAATTTCTAATATTTTGAAATATTAATTCAGCAGGCAAATTTTTAACAGGCTACCAAAAAAAAAAAAAATTCACAATTATGTCTTATTTTTTTTTTTAATGCAAAATTAGCAATTTGTATTTACCAAGCAACTACTTTAACTTTTGTATTGCTAAAATTTATTCATTGGTGCTATATATTGTTATTTTAAATATGTGTATTTTAAAATGAATTACTTATTTTTATTTCATTTAGGAGTACTCACATGGAGCTTTCACTCACTCAAACTCACTAGCTTTTTTTCTTTTTTACCATTATCCTTTTATATATTTTTTTTAATAACTTTAGTCCAGTTTTGCTTATTTTGTTTCTTAGTGTGCTATTTTTAATAAAGTAAAGATAGATTTTAATAGTCTTTTATTTATTTTTTATTTTTACTTATGCTGGGAATTATTTAAGACTCTTTCCCAGAATAAGGCAACTCTAAAATAAAATAAGAATAAAGTATTGACTTTTTTTTATGCAGATTACTAATTAAAGTTTTTATATTTCCTCATTGTTTCATGAGAACAATTTATATGCTCTGAATATGGTCTTGATTTTCTTTTTGGACCACATAACTGGGCCTGAATTAATTTTTTCATTTTAGGTTGCAAGTATACGTTTAGTCAGGGATAAAGATACTGACAAATTTAAAGGTTAGTATGCAATTTTTTTTTCTTACAATTTATCTGACATGTATATGTAGAAAGATTGCAAAGAGTTACTTGAGTTGAAATTGTTTTTTATACATTCTGTTAAAATCAAACTTGGTGGTTTTCGATGTTAAACTAGCTGAGAATTAGTTGAGTTGATCACACCCTCTTTAAATAAATAAAAAATTAAGATTGTTTATTATGTATAACATTTAAAATTGGCAAGCTATAAATAAAAGGCTTGGCACAATATAATAAGTCTCATTTTCAAATTGTCCAAGAATGCATTTTTTAAGAACATTTTTAGAGAAAGATACAATTTCCATGTGGGAGATGAGATGCTGCAGTGTACTGCACCCTTATCTAGTGAAAAATCTGAGAACTTCTATTCTGAATTGCTCTAAGCCATCCAAATATGTGATAGCTAAAATTTTTAAAAAATATTCTGCAAACTTTAAAATAATTTCGTAAACTTCAAGTTTGCATCAAAATTTTACTAATCAAAATTAGTGCCAAGTTGTTAAGTAGTTTTTAGTGAAAAATTGAGTAGAGGCTTGATTTCTGTTAATAAAAAACTTCTCCTAAACAAATAAATTTGAATAAAATAGTTATCTATATTGTGTAGAATGTGGCAGTTAAAATAAAATTTTGATATATTTGCATATGTATAAAGTTATTTCATAGCAACAAAGGCCGTTGCTATGATAAAGTGTTTATTATTATTATAATTTTTTTTTTGATCAGAAATCGAGCAATTAATAAAATTTATAAGCACTGATTGAAAATTGTTTTAGCTTTTTTACATTCTCATCCGTGTAATAGACTGGTTAATAATAAACAATAATGAAATGCATGAGAGGAAAGTATGGTGATGATGTTAGGTGATGCTTCTGATAGAAAAAGAAACAAGAGTACTGGAGCCAAGGTTCCTTTCTTAAGCCTTTAATTCAAGAAGAAGAAAAACAATAATGATATGCATTGGAGGAAAGTATGGTGATGATGTTAGGTGATGCTTCTGATAGAAAAAGAAACAAAAGTACTGGAGCCAAGGTTCCTTTCTTAAGCCTTTAATTCAAGAAGAAGAAAAACACTAAAAAAATATTCTACTTAGGACTTTCTTTTTTCTTCATCCCAGTTTTGTTGTTGTAAAAATACTAATTGATTTTGGTTAAGCCTTAAAAAAATCTTGTTTCCTTTTCTTTGGAGTGCAAACTATATGTAAATAATGTTTAGAATTATTATAATTTTTTTAATATATTGTTATTAGATCACAATATACTAAGCTGATTTTAATCTTTGACATTTTAAACTATTTTCAGGTTACTGTTATGTAGAATTTGATGATTTAGATTCTTTAAAACATGGTCTTGAATTAGATGGTGCTGTAAGTTATTTTTTATGAGTTACTGAAATGTTTAGCTTTTAATTTAAGTTGTTTTTTCTAAAATAATCATTGTAATCAATAAATTATGTAGAATTTTTATTATTTTAAGTTATGTTAAGTTATTTTTGCAAAGTATATTACAATTTAGTTTTATAGAATAACCATCTCAACCATAAATCTCAACCATCTATAAAACTAGATTTATTCCAGAAGAAACCTACTTCTTTCACAGCACTAGAAAAAAATAGAAAAGAAAGTAGAAGGGAGAAAGAAGCAAAATGGAAGAAAATTAAAAATCACCTATAATTTTTTAATGATGAGTATTATAAGAATAGTTTGAATTTAAATAAATGAAATTTAACATAGTAGACGAAAACTAAAAGCTTTTCTAATTTTTTTTAAAATAACTATTTTCCCATCTATTTTTAAAAGATAATTATTTTTCTAGTTTTTATTAGTTTTGTAAAGATTCTGTTTTATTATTTAATGAAGCAAAATGAATCAAATTATTTAATGAAACAAGAAATATTTTTATTTATACAAAAATATTTTGTTAAGATTTTTCTTAATAGGTTAAATTTTAGTAATGTTAGTAATGTTAGATCTTTTGTTTTTAATACTTGGCTTAGTGAATTAAATTTTCTTTTCTGAAACAATAAAATTAAAATGTGTAATAACAAGAAATTTTTTTGTAAAGTTATGGTATTGGTAAATCCTAGACAGAATAATTTAAAGTTTTCAAACTGTGAAAAAAGAACCTACTCCTAATTTGCCCTGACATGTTATACTGCTGAAAACTTACGAGTTTTATATTTCTTAAGATAAACATCTTGTATTTCAGAATGCATTTTAAAATGCTCATTTTTCTTTTAGAATTTTTAGTACAGAATATTTATAAGGCTTTATCAAATTTTTTAAATTATTCTATAATTTTGTATTCTCAATTAACTTATAAATGAAAATTCAGTAATTCGGGAATAAAAATTCTTAGGTTTATTTTATAAATTATAAATAACTAATTTTAAGATTGGGTATGGTATGATGAGATCTATATTAAAAATAATTTGGAAATACCTTCAGCATATTATCTAAGTTTTCTGAGTTTTAATACTTAACAAGATTTAATTATGAAAATTAGTATACTGATTTGAAGTTTTGAATATCATATATTATTTGTAGTTGGGATTATAATTATTATCTGATTTTTTAAAAAAAAATTGTATTTATAGAATTCGATTATAATAGTTACAGTTCTTTAAACAATTATAAAATTAAGTTCTACTATACTTTCTTACTCAAAACATTTAAAGAAACAAAACAGTTGTTAAGAAATTCATTGCATTTATTTTTCTTAACAATTATTGCTTTTTTGATTTTCACTTCTTTAAAAATTTGTTAAATAGCTTGGAAAACAATACTTTTGTTTTACATGGTAATTTTAAACTGTTTTTAAAAAGTTTTATGATATTTGATGTTTCTTTTTCAGACATGTGATTTTTCAGTATTTTTATGAGCAGTGCTTTCAGTACATTTTTTGTGTAATTGTGAATTTATATCTCAAAATATGCAGACAAATTGATATCTCTATATAATTGCAGTATTTTTCATTCTGATTGGTTCTCATGTCTGTTAAAAAGAGTTTCTTCCATTACTTCCACTTGGACTGGAAGAAACCTATTTCTTTTTGAGTAGTTTTGGAAGAAACTTGCCTTCCTTGATCTTTAAGTAATACTATAATAAGTAGTAATAATCTAAGAGGTCTTCTCAAAATGTAATGAAATAATTAAAAACTTTATTTAAAAATATCAACACAGTATTCGGTATATTTGCCTTATTGTTAATTGTGTTTGTCCTCTTATGAGAATTTTTTTTCTTCTAGTTATTTCCAATTTAAACAGAATTTCAAGAAGTTAATTAGTTTCATGATAAAATTTAATGAGTTAATCAATTTATTTGACAAATCTCTTGTCCTGATGATCGGTTAGTTGCTGATACTTATAATTAAAACTTGCCTAAAATTGGAAGTAACATGAAAATTCCTTTTTCAATATTTTCTTGCTATTTATTTATACTGTTTTTTTATTGCCATATTGGTTCTATATATTATTGATGTATTTTATTTCTTTATATTTAATCCAATTGTATTTTTTCTCATAATTTTGTGAAAATTCCTGACATTTTTTGATGCTAAGTCTGTCTCAAAACACTTAAAGATATCTAATCCAAACTTTGAAGGTTTTATGCTACATGTTCTGATATAGATTAATTAAGGCTAATAGATGTAATATTTTTTTATTCCTGATCTTTTAATTTTGTTTTAACTTTTTTAGATAGTTGAAGGCCGATCTTTGCGAGTTGATATTGCTGATGGTCGAAGAAATGATAGAGGAGGCTTTCGAGGGGGCAGAGGAGGAGGAGGTAATATTTATTAGCTTCCTACTGATTAACCACTACTTCCAAAGACATTCTTATCAGGGATTAACTCAATTAGTTACTTAATTTCCCGTCCCATCCAGCTATAAACTTCTTTATAAGCATGAAACAATCTAATTTCATTTTTCTTTCTTAATGGGTGTTGCTAATTGCTTTTAAAAAAATACATTGCTTTATATTGATTAATTATAATTTTGCTCACATTCTGCTAATTGTATCTCTCAGTTGCCCCATATTCTAACTATTTGGAAAATGTCTGAATGCCGGTAGACTATTCCAAAAATAATAATAATTTTTTTAAATTACTATGCTTATCAGCTAAGTGTTAAAAGATACTCCAAAAGTTGTCCTGAAAATTTTAAGCAATTATATTAAGATTAACAGATTGCTCATAAGCATGGAAAAAAATTTTACATTTTTTTTTTTGTTGTAAAATATGCATTATGCAATGAATATAAATAATGAAAATTATGTGAAATATTTAATTGCATAGAAATTATCCAATTACATGGAATCTAGAGCACAGATGTTCTTTCGGATACCAGGTTTTTCACTCAACTTCACTAGAGATTAGCTTGTATAGGACTAGTTTTTTTTATGCTAGATATTAATTATTTTAAAAAAAATATTTATAATTCTAAAATGATTTATAATCCCAAGCATGATCAAGCAGGCACATCCCTACTTTTAAACGATCAATAGGTTTTCATACCTTTGTTTATAGGAGCAATCATTAATCAAATTTAACAAATGGTTTCAAATGCATTAGTAGATTGAACATACTCCAAGATTGCACTTTGCAAGAGAAAAAGATTTTGTTCCTTTGTTAATTGGGAGGAAAAGGCGGATAGTTATCAAGAGAATCCTTAAAAACTGCGAAAATGATGCAATCTCAAAACATCATCTATTGTAAACATTAGATAACTTATTCTTTTCCCAAATATTGTGCATTAATTATTAGATTATTAAAAAATATGATTTTATCTTTGTTTTCTTTTATAACTAAATATTATTTGAATGTGACATACGATTAATAGAATAAATTAAGCTTCTTTATCAAATATTCCATTTCAAACCATTAAGTGTAGTATTAGTTGATTAGTACTTTCCAATTTGTAATACTGCACATTATTTAGTGTTTAACTGGAAGACTATATTTTGAATAGAGCTCAATTTTATATTTAGTACAGGATTTTTTGTGGGTAGAGGGTAAACTGAATGCCAGCTAAATCTGACAAATGCAAGGAATATGTTTATTAAGAGATTGTGCAATCATAAATTATTGTTCAAGTGTACCAACTTGATAATTATTTCAGTCTTGTACTACTTATTCTAGAATATGATTATATTTTTTATGACTATTGTGAAACTATATAATATTTGAATGAATGTGAAATATGATTAAATAAAGAAATGAAGCTTCTCTATAAAATATCATCCGAAAGTATTAAGTGTGGTATCTGTTGAATAGTGTATTCTTTTATGATATGTTGTACATTATTTACTACTTATAAAGAATAAAGAAAAATTTTAAAACTGGTTCATGAATTTCTTTTTTGGAGGGAAGAGACATTTATTAAAAATAAAAAGTTTGTCTACTATATCTGAAATTATTTTATGATAGGCTTTGATCGCGGTACACCTGGACGAGGAAGATTCAATGATGGTGGAGGTAGAGGCCGTGGTAATTTCAGAGGTGGTTTCAATGAAAGAGATCAAGATAGGGGTCGTGGATCTGGCAATTATGGAAGATCTACACCAATACGAAATTCAGAGTTCAGAAATGCTGAATTCAAAGAGCCATCATCAGGTAATTTTTTCTCACCATTATTTTAAAAGTATATTGCAAGTAAAAGTTTTTGATTAAGGAAGTATTGAATCCAATTATTTATATTAACAGAATATTGAATCTTTTCTTTAAATTGGGAAGCATTTTCTAATTAATTTTTTTTCCTTTAACAAAATTCCCAACTTTGTAATTATTAAATTTTTTAGTCTTTATGAGTTTGAATCCAATAAACAATTCACTAATTTACATGTATTATGAGATTTTATTTATGTGCTCGTTTTTTTGCCTAATTTGCAACACACCTTTATCAATGCAGTATAATAAATAATGATAGAAATGTTTTTGTTAAGCGTGCATATGTTTATAAATGATTATTTATATTTAAATATAGTAATTCACTCAACTTATTTAAATTGGAACTACTAATTATTGGTAAAAATGCTGAATTGTGTCACCTATTTAAGCCAAAGTTCAGAGTTGCATTTTTTTTATTTATTTTTTTACCAATGGCATCTATGTAATTTTTTTTTGGATTTTGCACCTTTTTAACTTTACTTTTTATTTGCAATTTATTACATGATATATAAATGTCTATCTGTTATCTTTTAGAAGAAGCAGCTGCTAGACCACGGCTGAAATTATTGCCTAGGTCAGTTAAAGATCCAGTTAATGCAGTAGCTGATACATCTAACAGATCAAGCATATTTGGTGAGGCAAAACCAAGAGATGAAAAAAGTTTGACCGCGGAGAAGAGTAATAATGAATTACCAGTTAATCATTGTTCCTCCACAATTGGAGTTAATTGACTTAATAAATAAAAAAGTGATATTTTGTATCACCTCCCCTTTAATGTTTTCCCACCAGTTATGTGTGTTTAAATCTAAATGTCTTGAAATATAAAAGCAGATATCACTAAAGGTATTTTCTATAAATTCATATTTGTAACAACATAGAATGAATTACAAAATATTTTTTTTAGTTGGGGTTTAGTTTAATTTGTTATGATTTATTGCTTAGGAAATGAATTGTCAAATGATTTACATTTTTATCAATCAATCTTGTTTTATTTTATATTTTTAAAAGAATTCACAATGAAATTCTTGCATCAGCATGCTATTTTACTGTTATGATTTGTTGTTATTGATGAATTTTTCTAAGTTTGTGTGTTATGCTACATCAGGGAATTCATTTTATTTCGTTATTAATGCTTGTTTATGATACAAAAGTCCACTGTGCTTTATTTTTGTATTTGAATTGCTATAGTATAGTAATGTAATCAATTCTTGTTTAAAAAATAATCATTTCAGCTTGTTTTAAATCACAATTTTTGGAATTAAAATTTTTCCTATGTATTATTGCTTACTGTCTTATTGTGTACTGTTCTTAAAAAAATAGTTTAGAACACTGGATCACATTTTCTTTTAAATTTAATTAACATTTAGTTTAACAAATTTTACTACACTATGAAATCTGTTTTCATGAAACTTCTTTCAGTCAAATTTGTCAACATTATTTTAATTGAAACTAATTTATCATGCAGGAAAATAAGGCTATCCTAAATTAAAAGATTCTGTTACAAAATTTCTACGGCTAACATGCTTCACTATAAAATTTTGAAATTTTAGGTATGACTTAATGAAAGTTGGGAAAAGCTTATAATCTGCTTGGGAAACAATGCTAACCACGGACCAATGCTGGATAATTGCTAACCATGGACCACAAATGGCTGTATAGTGCATTAAAAATCAAGCGTGGTTAAATTGCAAGTGAAATAAAAGATTGCTAGAATGTTAGAACATTAAAAAAAAAGATAATTTATTATGCTCTGACTTAGAAGTTTTGAAATGTATTCAAGGAACAAAATAATTGTTTTATGCTAAAAACGCCAATATGAAAAAATACAAACACCATTTGTAGGCATTCTGGAGTAAGATGTCAATTGCGGTATGACCACCATGGATGGCGATGCAAGTTTCCAGACGTTTTGACATGTTTTGTACAATAGTATTCAGCAGCTGTTGGGGCAGTTTGTCTCATTCCTCTGTCAGTGACCAAATGTGGGTGTCCTTTTTTATTGCAGGGCATTCTTGAGAGCAACACTAAAGCATCCCACACATTTTCAATGGGATTCAGATCTGGAGAACACACAGGCCATACGAGGCAGTGAATATCCTTTATCACTCCTCAACAGCGACTGTTCAATGACACATGTTGCATCGTACATAAAAATTTATTTATCACCAACAGCACTACGAAATAAGCTGAGAAGCACTAATGGGACGTACAACCATTATGCTAACCTATACTATGACGCTACATAGAATATCAGACGGGAGCATGAATCTACTCTTATCTGAGAATAGTATGCAAGCTCAGTCCTCTTCGCTCCAACTGTGATGCTGAAGACATTGCAAACTGCCGCGGCAGTGATATCTAGGCAATGGCATGCACTCAACAGGTTGGCGGGTGTATAGTCCCTCTTGCAAGTGTCTGGCTACAGTTTCTTGGGTGATTCCTTTGCCAGTAGCTGGTTGTACTGCCCTGGTTCCTTTTTGCCGATAGCACTATGTGCATGTCTTCTACAGGAATTGTAGATGGAACAGGACCTCTGCTATGACGTTTGCTACACATTCCAGTTGTTAGAAATTATTTCCAAAGCTTTTGAAAAACACTGTGGTTGACATCTAACTCTTTGGCATCATCTGTTATATGTTTCACTGATAATACGGTCTTGCGTAAAATCATTTAAATTGCGTCGAGAAGACCTATACTTTCCCATTATACTTTGATTATTAACAACATTGCTCAATAAGTGTCAAATAATAATATCTCTTATTAGTGCTGTCATGTGACAAACCAGTTTGACAACCCAAAATTTGCATACGCAAAACACATTTTATTGTATCTTATATCACACTATACGTTATCATAAAAAAAGTCTTAGACTTAGCATCCTTTTTTAAGTTCTGAGGGTGGCGAATTAGCTATGTTTTTTAAGTTTGGGAGTTAAAAGTCATGATTGCTTAATCCTCTCTTTTATTATGTTTGTGCTTAAATTTTATTCAAGTTAATATCACAAAATAAACAAAAAAAAATTTATCTCCAGCTTTTTATTCTCATGATTTGATATGTCAAGTTAAGGAAACATGTCATAACCATATAATTCTTGTGTATCAGTAATACTTTATAATCTGTCAGTCTTTTTTATTTCCTCCAAAAACTTCTTGTACATATAAATTCTGTTCTATTTAGGAGCTTGTTTTATACAACTGTTAGTTGTTTTATTTCATAAAAATTTTCCATTGGTTTTGTTGGCTTTAAATGTTCTTTCAGGTAGGTTATTTGTCTTGTGTCGTACAGTTCTATTTAAAAATTCTACAATTCACTTAGTCATTCCATTTAAAGATTGTCTTACAAAATTGTTCTGATATTTCACAATTCAGATGATTTCTTTTCATCTTATAAATTAGCTCCTTCAAGTTTTTTAATAGTTCTTTCTGACACAACTGCATTCTAATTCTGAAATGTTGGTACCAAATATTTATAAGAAACATCTTCAGCAATTATCTGCTGTTCTTTTTCACAATCATCTTCTAAAATAATTCGCCTTTTTTTTATATTCGAGAGAAGAAACATCTACCTAAAACCTATGTTTTTATTCCATATAATCCAATGATTTTTGATTTTCAAATCATTATTTCCACCCTGTTTTTATTCCAGCTTCATATTCATCCTTATTTTTTCTCCACCAAATTTGAAAAGCATAGTTTTGTTAAATTATTCTGACATTGTTTTACAATTCTCATTCAATTGTTTTGTATTTTCAATTAGCTCTTTCTTTAATACCACTGATTCCTTATTCTTAGCTCCTTGTCATCCATGGGAGATGATTCATCACCAGTGGTTGTTTGCTTAACTGTAATTCTTTCCTTCTCTAACTTCATATAAAAATTTAATCTTTGTTACATCCTAGATATTGGCTAAAATAAACAGACAGGTGAAACCTGGATTTTTCTTCTTAAGTTCCAGTGGTTTTTCATATTCTCATTTAGTTTTTTATCCAGTTTCATATTCATGTTTGTTTTATCCATCTAGTTAACAAGCCTCTAATTATTCTCTTAAGTTCTGATATCAGCTGAATCACACTTGAAATGATTACATCAGTGCAAAGCCAGTTAGATATTCATTTGAGATTTGTTTTTATCTATTTCTGTTTCAGAAGGTATTCTACTGGTTTCACATTCCTAATTTACTTCGCCATCATTGTCATTAAGATTGACTAAGCAGTTTATCTAATCCAATTAACCGTTGATCTCTTGACATAGTTTTCTTTATTCCAAAGACCTTTGCTTGACTCTTCAGGTTGTTTAACTTGATATTTCTTTTAATGGTTTGTTGTCTTCTATGGCATAAAGAGGGGAGGGGGGGTAAAGTCACATTAATGATGCATAATGTGGTTTTAGTTGTACTCCATTTTGCTTTCTGTTAAACTGTTGTTGAAAAAATCTGATATATTTGAGAAAGATAATTCACTGTCTGTATTTAGTTCTCCAATAAACTATTCATTTTCAACTAGTTATACTTCCTTAAAGCTCAATACATTTCTACTAGCAACTGTTTGGCAAAAACCTGTAATACAGTGATAAATTTCAATCATTAAACTCAGTTCCTATGATTTTCAGTTTTCAAATCATTTGACAGATTTTGTGAGTTATTTTAATCCAATAAATTTATCTTATCTTATTAACTTATTTATTGCATGATATCTTAACGTTACTCAGCATGTGCTTCACTCAATGGTGAAACCTGTCACTGTGCCATTTTAAATAGCAGCTGAGACTGGAGCAGGTTTTGCTAAAGTAAGATTAACAAAATAGTTATGTAAGTGTCGCAAATTAGTAATCTGATAATAAATCATTCCTTGGGAATAAATTTTTTAAACTGTTTTACCATTTAAAAGAATATGCCAATGCCTATATTAAGTTATGCATAAAATTTATCAATTTATTGATGACTGGTACCAGAGTTTTAATTCTAAAGACTTTATATGGGTCATTTGCCAGAAAGTGACATTTATGTCCCTTACCTTTATTCAGTTTATTTTTTAAAGAAAAACTTTACAAGGCTTCTAACTGACGTTTTAAAGGTAATAAATGTCGTAATTATTATGTCTAACAGTCCAATTTGAATGTGTAAAATGTCATTTCTGTCCCTAACCACATAGTGATTCTAAGCAAATAAAAATGCTATCCCTTTTTTACTTGTCTCTACTGTCCCTCACTATAAACCTTATTTAGACTCTTATGCAATTGAAGCAAAGTTCAATGAAACTACTAGTTTCCACTGGATTGATTAGAAAAAATGTCTCCTGAATCAACTGTAGTGCTTTTTGTCAAGTGACTTGCACGATATTTTGACTTTGATGGCTAAATTCAAACAAACTGTTTCTGACTAATCACAAACCAGATACTTTGTTTTTAATGATGCTAGTAGACAAAATTGGGGGGAGAAGAAGATAAAATCTGGACAAAATGTTTAATTCAACTTAGTGACAATTTCATGTAAATAAGCACTAGAATAAGATAACTAGATCATCGTTTCCAAAAATGATAAAATAATTCTAAATTGAAATAATTATTCATTTCTATTTTAAAACTATTTTTAAAAATAATATAGTTGATGTTTTTTTAAATATTTAAAGTGTTTGAGTAATATATCAGATGATTACAGGCATGTGAAAATAATCTATTTATGATAAGACCGGAAATGTTTTTAATGATGTTAGTAGACAAAATTGGGGGGAGAAGAAGATAAAATCTTGGCAAAATGTTTAATTCAACTTAGTGACAATTTCATGTAAATAAGCACTAGAATAAGATAACTAGATCATCGTTTCCGAAAATGATAAAATAATTCTAAATTGAAATAATTATTCATTTCTATTTTAAAACTATTTTTAAAAATAATATAGTTGATGTTTTTTTAAATATTTAAGGTGTTTGAGTAATATATCAGATGATTACAGGCATGTGAAAATAATCTATTTATGATGAGACCGAAAATCTGTGCAGATTCCATTTCAAAAGTCACAGTTTAAAATTCTACTTAAACTCATTTTTTCTAAAATGTCTATGGATTTTTTTAATTGGCGGAGAAAGAATATGTGACCTACTGAAAAGGATTTGCTAAATCAAGGGGTAATCCTTCACGTTTGATTATGATGTAATGTTACAGTTGAATTTCAATAAATAGTCATGATCAAACAGCAATCAATCTATTAAGAGAGATTCAAACTGAAGGTTCCTGTTTCAGATGTGTAAGGGTGTTAATCGGCCATGAAGACTACCGGTTA